GAATTCCCGGATGTTGGAAATAACACCACCAAGTGTTGAAAAGATAACTCCTTGATTTCGCACTGAATAAAATCAATTTTAACTCTTATTATATTCATTTATCAAAATCTAACTCTTTAACGTCAACACTTTACTCTGAAATGCTTCAACACCGAGAATTTAACTCAGATGAATTTGCTGTGTATTTCTGGGTGGAGAGAATGAAGTGTATCCTGGCCAATCATCACTGAACCGCTCGCTAGCTCCACCCCCTGAGCCACTGCCGGGCTCCAGCTGACCTGCGCGCCCATACACACACACACACACACACAGGATGCTCCGTCATCAACATAAGAGCTGATTTGAGGACAGTACATCTGCTGAGCTGAGTATGACTGTGATTTACAGGCTTCAGGTAAACAAATAAAGACATGTACAGACGGATGATCATTCCCACAGGCGGGATGCGGTATGGAGCGAGATGAACGCGGAGGACAGGACTGTACGGCATTTGGAGACTGCGCTGTGTGACTGTATGATCATCTGATAATGCCACACTAATGATCTGAATCTGCTCAAATATGCCAGACTAGATGTGGGAAACTACTGCTGGCACATTCAGGAGTAAACACATCTGACCAAACACCTTCATAATAATGTAATGGTTGTGCTCAGCAGTAATTAAGTAGCAAGCACTCATACATGTTGATATATATCCATTTCAGATTTAACTATGGGGGTAAAAGAGAGATAAGCATACATATACAGTGCTCAGCATAAATGAGTACAGCCACGTTTAAACATGAATCCCAATCAGTTTTATTTAACAGTAGGGCTGTAACGATACACCAAACCCACGATTCGATTCGTATCACGATTTTTGACCCACGATTCGATTCGTATCACGATTTTTTTTTTTCGTGTGGGGTGGGGAAAAAAAGATTTTTAAAACTATTTTTTATTAAATAAAATTATATCATTTTTGTTTTCTTTGTAAGAAAATACTTTTGAAAAACCAAACCGAACTAAACTCCATTGTGTAGATGGTTCAAGCATGTTAAAAATTCTTTTTCCATCAAGTTCTCTTACATAGAAAAAGTAAATTAAATGGCTACTAGGGATGCTCATTTCGGTTAATTTTGCTAACAGACAACCGCCGCTCATTAATCGGTTATTGTAATGGTTAACTGGTCAGATTACTATTAATTTTATATTAAACAAATTGACGTGTCTATTTTGTGTCTTACACATTACATATTGCATTTTAAAATAGGCTACTGATTTATTTTTAAATGCTAGCATATTAATAACAGAACAGAAGAACAGAGCATCTTCACGCACCTGCAGTGTTTAGCACAGAAGAGCAGAATAATCTAAATAAAATGAATAAAATAAATAGGACTGCCCTAAATTATTTTCACTTAAATAATTAATTTATATTACAAAACGAAAATACTGACTGATTCTTTTTAACAACCGGCATAGGCAGTTTTTTTCCAATTATGTTTTTTCTTCCGTCAAATAAAAAAATCGCAGACTTCCTCAAATTGCCCGCTCCATGGAAAATATGCATTTATTTAATGCCCCGCTGTTATTATTATAATAACAAAACCTTTTACATTTTAATAGAAATCATTATTTTAAAGAATAAGTCCTGATGGTTTCCTCTCTCTCCCTCGCGGTTCAAGTGCGCATACTGCGTGATGAAAAGTCAACAACACGCGCGCATATGTAGACTTTTTGTAAACAGTTTTGTTGTTTAAATATGCTATTGCATTAATGTGCATACATGCTTTATAAGCCGAAAACAAAGCGCATCTCACTGCCTTTATGTTGACAAGGAAAAAAGAAGAGAAGAAGCGCGGTCCTCTTATGAAACGACTGAATCAGCTGGGTATCGATTGTGCATAAGTGTTGCTGTCTGTGTTGTTACAATTGTAATATTTAATGCTATTGATATATTCAAGATGTGTATATTCATACAGCTCTGGATAACTTAAAACAGTGATAAGACCTTCAGAGCGGCATGCGTCCTGCAGTAAAACGGAACAGCTATAAATTTCCAGCAAGATAGAGTGATTATATACAGAGTCATATACCTTTATCTATAAATAAAGTATAACTATAGAAACTGTGTTCATCTTAACTGAAAGCTTTGTCCTGTTTCCTGGCCTCACGCATCGCGCTGTCAGTCAGCACAAACGTTAACTCTCAAAGGTTCAAACAGAAAGCGCACAGCACGGTTACAGAAAAGTTCCTCTGCAGAGGAGTCGGGGCATCTGGTGAACGCCCATCCCTCTCTGCGCAGCCACATTAACAACAATGCTTTGACAGCACTGGCAATGTTTCTGCCGTTGTCTGTTGTCAAGAGGGGTTAAGTTGGTTTTGTTTTTGATATTCCTGACACATTCAGACAGTCCCTTACTAAGAGCTCTGTGCGAGCTCTCCCGGTTAAACGCTAATTGCGAGGGCTTAAACGGAGCAGTGCTCGTAATGTCGAGCGGAAAAAAAAGTGTTTCCTCACGTTCTTCTTCAACTAGCTCAACTTTTGCAGGCACGCGTGACGTTATTGGAAAGGTAGTCACGGGGTGTGTCGCGATTCTCCCTTATCACACCGCGACACAGGATCGTATATCAGAGTGTCGCGATTTCGATTTTATATCGTGTATCGTTACAGCCCTATTTAACAGTTATATTCATTAAAATAATAGTTTGTTCACAAAACATCTGTCGGTTTAAAAAGATAAAATATTTAAATTCAGATGAGATATTGAAAAAATAATAATAATAATAAATTACTGACTAAAAAAAGGTGGTTAGTTTCGCTGTGGCGATCCCAGATTAATAAAGGGGGAAAAGCCAAAAAGAAAATAAATGAATAAATGAATGAATGAATGACAAACTAAAAATGTCAACAATTTTATATTTTTTAGATTATATTAGCTTCATTTGTTAGAATTATACAATATTTATATGATGAAACATCAAGAATTATATTTATTACACTCAATTAGACAGAAAAAACAAATGAAAATGATGTATAAATGATCATATAGATGAAGATTAAATAAGCTTTATGAAATTAACTAAACAGATAAAACAGATCTGCAATATTAGCTAAGCGTTTGCAATAATCTTCATGATAAATTCATTAGCAGCACGAATGTTCACTGGTTACATAAAGAAGCGAGTGATTCCAAGCATGAATTTGGCATTTTACATAAACATTTACGACATGTTGGCTTTTACAGTTTTGGCCAGAGTTGGATGCATTTACATGTATTAAGCAGCAGGGGTCGCCAGCGGGTGGCTTTTCCTACAAACACTTAAAATCAGCTGGTGGTTTTGCAGAGAAGTTATTGGATCAATTTATTCGATGCTTTGGAGAGCTTAGTTTCTTCCATCACTGGGGAAATTTCACAATATTCAACAGCCATGTAAACATATTAAGGCTATTTAGTAAAAAGTAAAAAAATAAAAACCTTTATTTGGTCTCTTCCACTTCCCATGATGCACCACAGCACAGGTACAAAAGGTCACTCCTGATGTTGCTCTGGTTTCTCCACTGCTTCCAGAAACTTCTTAGAGGATCCTTCAAAGGACATGTTGATTGATTTGAGTGAGTCATGAACATCAGCAGAGTCAGAACACGGAACAGCACCGCTCGAAGAACAGAAGAACACTACAGAAGATCACTTGAGAATGCAGCGATCGGGCCATCCTGCTGCTGCTGCTGGTGTGTGTGTGTGTGTGTGTGTGTGTGTGTGTGTGTGTGTGTGTGTGTGTGTGTGTGTGTGTGTGTGTGTGCGCGTACGTGTGTGTGTGTGTGTGTGTGTGTGTGTGCGCGCGCGTTTCAGACACAGAGAGTAAAGCAAAACATCAGAGGCAGAACAGGGGAACATCTGAGCACGTCTGATTGGCTTCATCCATTTAGACTGTTTTGCTTTATTAGTGGGTGTGTCTTGAGGGCGGAGTCTGTAATTTGGGCGGGGTCTGCCACATGGGTGGGGTGGCTTGTCCACAGGAGTATTTCTGAGTGGAGAGAATGAAGTGTATCCAGGCCAATCATCACTGAACAGCTCGCTAGCTCCACCCCTTGAGCCACTGCCGGGCTCCAGATCACCTGCGCGCACACACACACACACACACACAGGTGATGGTTGTGCTCAGCATTAATAACAGCAGGTGTGTGAAACTCCTTAAACACACAGAGCTCACCGTCTGTGAAGTGTGAGTCTCGTCTGCACTCTGCAAAGTAGAATGTGTGTACGGCTGTGGACAGCTCCATCATAAGCTGCTGTGTGCAAGCGTCTGGCCAAGAGACATCCAGCTCCGGGTTACTAAGCTGCTTCAGCAGACCGTCAGCAGTGACCGCCGGCAGGTACCTGCACACACACACACACACACACACACACACACACCCCTGCAGAGTCTAGCACACGCACGCACGCACGTAGAAGTGGCGCAGGTCTGTGAGCAGCTGTCTGATGATGTAAATGTTCTGTGTGTGTGTGTGTGTGTGTGTGTGTGTGTGTGTGTGTGTGTGTGTGTGTGTGTGTGTACATCTGATTGATGGACTCCTCCGTGGTGCCGATCAGCTTCCAGAAGAACTCTGACAACAGAAACACGAAGCAGAGAGTGACGAGTCAGAGCGGAGATACCAGAGCAGAGCTGAGGGGAATCAGGAGCACACAGCACAATTTCACCACTGTCTGCAGGAGTGCTGTTAGCTTAGCTTAGCATAAATCACTGAATCGGATTAGACCGTTAGCATCTTCCTCAAAACTAAGTCATTAGTGATGATTCTCCTGCTTAAGCTGGACTCTTCTGCATTGACACTACAGTAAGATCAGCAGAAGCTCCTGTAAACAGTCCCTAGAATGAAAAAAGGTGTCCGTGCTGTGTAATATCACTGCGCCGCTGCAGTCGCACTACCACCGCAGAGTTTCTGGATTATTACGCCTGAATGAGGGAACAGCTCAGCTATACCAGACTAACAGCAGCTCCTCATCTTCTGTCTGTCTTAGAACACGATACGACAGAAGAGCCACGCTTCACAGAGGAAAACTCCCCTAATGCTCCTTTGAGTGAGATGCTAATGGTCTAATCCGATTCAATGATTTATGCTAAGCTACGCTAAAACTGCTTCTGCAGATGCTGAATACTGCTGAGGGATTCAGACATGCTGAAATCAGCCCATTAACAAAAAGGCAGAGTGTGTCTGTAAAGCTGATCTGTGTGTGCGCGTCTCACCGTCATACCTGCAGTGTGTGTCTAAAGTTAGAGAACAGGAAGTGGCTGGAGTACCGAACTGCAGACAGGAAGTGTTGTTGGCTGTGCTGCACGTGTGCGTCCTCCATGTGGCGGGAGGAGCAGGTGTAGTCCAGCAGACAGAAGCGCAGGTGTTCTCCTGAAAAACACCACACACACACACACACACACACACACACACACTCAGTGCTGGAGCTCAGTCTACACTATATAGAGCACCGTAGAAGGGAAGCTGATTTGACTTGATCATCACAGAGCGAGCGCCCCCTGTTGGTCTGGAGTCTACAGAGAGAAGCTCTGCTGCACATTTATTTTAATAACTAATATAATGATATTAACAATGTTTTTCATTTGTACGTGTTTGAAACGGCTCTCCATATCTTAAATAAATGTTAAATATCCAGAATCATAACATTAAAGGTAGATGTGATGTGATTTAAGATATTTACATTTGTTTTAAGATATAGATCAAATTCTTTAATCGTAGCCATTTGTTTTCCTAAATGAACCTCAGTGTGTCTTTTAGCTTTATACTTTTCATTTACAGAGCTCAGCATAGATGATTTTCTCAATAAAGACTAATAATAAGCCATCTGACCAATCAGAGGAAAGTAGAGTCATCTGACCAATCAGAGGAAAGTAGAGTCATCTGACCAATCAGAGGGAAGTAGAGTCATCTGACCAATCAGAGGAAAGTAGAGTCATCTGACCAATCAGAGGGAAGTAGAGTCATCTGAGCAATAAGAGGGAAGTAGAGTCATCTGACCAATCAGAGCAGAGTAGAATGAATATTTTAAAGCTGCTAGTAATGGTTGTGGCTGTAGATCACACTGAACTGGGGCCTGTACTGTTGAGGTTAATCTGGCAGGTGGGAAAATTACTGCAACACATGCTGCTCTTACTTTCAGTGTCTTGTCCAAACACTCATCAAAACATCTAGAGACTCTAAAATCAAGAAGCATTTCCTAATCGAGTATAAAATATAGTCTTGTTTTAAGAAATAATGAGTCAAAACGAAGAGAGATTCTCCTTAAAACAAACAGAATAATCTGACGATGGAGGAAGTGAAATAATCTTGTATCAGGAATAACATCAAGAGCATTCTGCTTCCCTCACTGTCAGATTATTCGACTTGTTTTAATGAAAATCTCTCTGCATTTTGACTCTTTATTCCTGAAAACAGCACTATATTTAGCGCTAGTGTGGAAAATGCTTCTGGATTTTTAGATATTTGGGCAAGAAACAAGACTAAACTGTAAGTGAGACTGCAGCATCTGTACTGAGAGATGATTCAGTGATATTGTACATCATATTGGATGTGTTGAGCTTGTACAGTGACAGGAATTAAAGGAACGGAGCTGCCTTCAGAGAAATGAGCGAGCGTCTACCGGCTGAGTTTTCACCGGAGCAGTTTCCTGTTCTGAGCTTTAGACCAGGCGAGTCCTGACGGCTGGTGCACGGTGGAGTTTGAGCCGCAGTCGATGTAGCGGTACGTTTCCACAGTATTCTGTCCCGCTCGCACCATGTAGGAGGTTTTCACTGAGGTCCTGGGGGAATATAAGGTCCCGTCAAATTAAAATGCATTTAGACGGATGTTTCAGCCGGTTAGTTAAGGATATCTGTAATCTAAAGTCTCCAAGACAGACAAAATTCAGCTTTAGAAGATATAACCCTGATTTAAAAATAGTTTTTAACAGCAGAGGGCGCTCTAGGCTAGTGTTTAACAGCAGTCTACTGGAGCCTTATCTGTGCTGAGCTGCTGTGAAAGCGCTATAGAAATAAAGATGAACTGAAATGAATTGAATAAACTCTACAGTGATGATGAGTAGGTGTACAGTAATATTGTCATAGTGTATGAATGAATAGTGTTTATCTTGCTGCTAGAATGATGGTTTGGTACAGTGTAATAGATTATATGATAACAAACAGGTAAAATGTTTAATCTTCTCCTCTTAAATCAATAATTCATGCTGGAGTCTGTAAAAATAATCTGCAGATATTTTAGCCCATCACTGAGTCTGGTTATGTAAATGTGTGTAAACATATAATGATTCAGTTTTAATATTAATTTCAGTAATGTTATTAACTAATATGCAAATGTTTGAATGATTTATTTACAGTTTGTAAAATGATATTTTCTGTCATTTAGGAGATGTATTATATGAGAGACTTGTAGTGGTAACACTCAGGAATGAGTTGGTTGCACAAGATGGCGCCAGTGAGCTTTTGAGACACAAGTGTGTACGCGTTTACTTATGGTCATATAGATCTATGAAGGAAGAGTTGAGGATTTCACATTTTCCTTACCAAAAAATGATCATGTTTATAATAAAAAAAACAGAGTAGTTTATCAGAAACAGAAGAGGACATGCTCACTACACTGCTGCACACCTCACTGCACTCCTCTGCTCTCATTCTGTCCCTGTTGATGCTGCAGTTCCTCATCAGTGGCTACTCAGATTGTGTTGGGATCACTTTAGTCCTACACAAACTACTAGTGTGCAGTGTTCATCCTAAACATCATTGTGTTTTGACACCTGGTGGACTGAGAACACTTTGAAAATTACTTGTTCTCTGACTTTTTGCATGGAACAACTGTACTCTTCCCACACTGAGAGTTTAGATCATTAACCAAGATCCTGCGTCCCATCTCCAACGAGACTACGAGATGAGCGAACCACAAGCGGCACCTGATCATGTTTATGTGTCATGACTCCCTGTACATGCATGTAAGTGTAAGTATATATATATATTTATATATATATATATATATGTGTGTGTGTGTGTGTGTGTGTGTGTGTGTGTGTGTGTGTGTGTGTTTGTTTTATGCAAGAGCTAAATAAAATCCCCTCAGCATGAAAATATTTGTGTCAATTTTATTTTTAATAATAATACAAATAAATATGACATAACACAGAGAAATGGCCACTACAAAAAGACATGATCCCGACGCAATCTGAGCATCCACTGAGCAGGAACTGCAGCATGAACAGGGACAGAGTGAGAACAGGTGAGTGCAGTGAGGTGTGCAGCAGTGTAGTGAGCATGTCCTCTCCTGTCGCTGATTAACTCCTTTAATGTTTATTTTTGGTAACGAAAATGTGAAATCTTCATCTCTTCCTTTATAGTTCTACACAACCAGAAGTAAACACGCACACGCTTGCTTCTCGTAAGCTCACCGGCATCTTGTGCACCTAGCCCATTGAACTTTACTATGTCGTTTTAACAATGTGTACTTTCGCTTTCACTTGAGTGCGTCGCTTATAAACAATCTTCTTTCTTAATCAGTAAATGCACTACAGAATGTTACGTTTTCACGCGTGCGCAAACACGAACAGCATGTAAACACATCAGCCTTCCACAGCGTAATACACACTGCTCTTAATATTGACTGTACTGCACCTCATGTCTGGGTGAGTAATGCTGCTTTTACTCGAGTCTGGTTTTTCTTTCCACCACTGAAGACTTGCTTTGTTTCCTAAACAGGTGGATTCAGTTGCATTTGCATTGTGAACCTGATAAAGTCAAAAATCTTTGATATTTATGTCATGTGTTAGTGACTAAACTTTGAGATCACTCCGCATGAATGTGTTACGCAATTCTGCACAGAAATAGCAAAAACTGTCCGCAGGTTCTGTCTGGCCTGGAGATGAGCTGCTCATAACATTACAGCACAAGAGCCTCTGATTCTCTACATCACTCGCTGGGTAAGTGACGTCACATGAAGCGGTGTCCGGGTCCAAGCACTCTATCAGACTGTATGAGGAGGCTGTTGAATGTGAAGCTGTGTATTTTCTGCGTGCTCACCTGCTGGGATGCGTCCGGAGCCTGTCCTCCTGTCGGTCCAGCCCGTCCAGATACTCGTCTTCACCCGTCAGACAGCCTTTATGAGCGCTGCGTCTGCGGCCCGGGACAGCCAAGAGCCAGCGGTCTGTCCGGCACAGGGAAACCCCCATCACAAACACACTCACAGCCCAGCAATCTGAGAGACACAATGAGGAGGATGAGGATGTGCTTTTATTTAGGATCACTTGATTTCAGTTATTCCAGGATCATTCCTGAGCAGTGCAGACGACTGGTCTCTGCACAGAGGCGTCTAGATGCTGGAATCACCAGCAGAAGCTCTTCCACAGAGTATTAAATAAAGTGTGTTCAGTGCTCATTCCCTGAGTCGTGTCACTTTATTTATTATGACTCCGCTCGTATACTGAAATATTCTGATGATAAATTCAATATTTGGCTTGATGACTGCATCTGCTGGAAACTGTCAATAGCCCACACAGAAATCCCCTTACTGATGAAAATGCTGATGGTCAAACACTTATTTCCCCCGCTGTATATAATTTAATCTTGGGTATGGAGTAATCAGGTATTATATAAAAGATTTGAGGTGAAGCTATATCTCTGTATGTTTGCTGGTGCATGTTTTATTGACCTGAAGTGGTTTTGTGGAGTACATTTAGAAAACCAGTTTATTATACCTTTTTTGCATGTTGCGTTGATATATAAATATATAATTTACCTTAATCTCAGTATTGCAACACAGGACATTAATATTAATAGTGTCCCGGGATATAAAGATGCAGTGATTTAGAGTTTTAAACATAAATACTCAACTTCTTATTTGTATTTTTCTGTATTTAACACAAATCACATGCTTGAGGTAAAGTTGGTTTGCTATTGGCACATTCAGACTTTAATAAAAAGCTTCAATGAAATATTAAACATCATGTCTAACACAGATTGATTATAATAACACGGACACTCCACAACATCAGCACTGTTTACCTGACTGTCATCATCATATCATTTCAACATTTACAATTAACAAAAAACCCTTTCCTGAAATCATTAATATTATTATTTTAGGTCTGAATGTGCGAATATAAAACCAACTTACCTCTATATATTAGTCTGTTTCAGTCTACCTGTGACAACTCTAACTTACTCCCGCTGTCAAACTACGTGTGTGTCTCTCTCTCTCTCTCTGTTTTGGGGTCAGTCAGAAGACGCTTATGGACACGTGACTGCCATCTGTCACTCCGGAGATGAACAGCACAAGCCCTGCAGCAGCGCGACGGCACTCTTCATTTACAGAAAGTCATTTTGGTGCTAGATTTAGCAACTTTTCATGCAACATTAAAAACAACTACATTTAGCAGTCTTGACATTAATTTGTTGAGTGAGAGACCTTAAAGTGCTGCAATTTAAGAAGACACGCAATTAAAACACACCAGCAAATAAAGAAAATATCCTGAACAGTTTGACACGTGTTACAAATCCTCACAACCCAAACACATTATTAAAACTTGCATTTAATAACAACACATGCTGTCATTGTTCACTAATGAACTGAGCAATTACCGATCACTCAAGCTGTTAAAACCAATAAATAAAAGGCCAACACTGGAGCGAATGGGCTCTATGCACAAATAGTTTTAAATGTGTGTGTGTGTGTGTGTGTGTGTGTGTGTGTTTTCTTTGGGGAATAATTGTTTACATTTATTACCTGTTTTAACAGAATCATTTAAATAGAAAAACAATGATGTGCGTCTGAACTAACATGAACTCATCTTTAGCCGCTCTTTTTATTAATTTGTCATCATTTTCATTTTTCCGAAAAATAGTTTCGACACCAAACATTGTTGTTTTAACTCAGAAACGTTTAAAGTAAGTTCTTGGTACATTCGAAAAATCCATATAACTTATTTTTAGGTTAGACCATGTCTAATAAACAGGACACGACTCTTATTTTGTTTTTGCTTAGTAACGTCATCACGCCGCGCCGCGCTCCTGCTTCTGTTTTTATCCGGCTGGAGAAAGGTTTGTTTTAAACAGTTTAATCACACAGAAACAGTTTAACAATTGTTATTAATATTTTTAGCAGTACAACATGAATTATGTGCTGCTGGGTGTATTATTGCAATGCCTTTCAAACACCAATGAAGGCTATTTGCGTGAGTAAAGCGCGTTCATTCCTATCCGCGCATGAAGGAAAAGCTGCGTCTTATTTCGCTCTTAATATCAAGATCTGCTTGATCAGAAATCCAGTCACTGAATATCCGTGACGGCAGAAACAGTTTTTAGACAGTCCAAGTGGACTGAATCAAACGCTTCTCAAAGCGATTCAGTGATCCGAGTCACCGCGCGGCACCGACTCCTGCTGGTCAAACAGCGCAGGCGCAGCAGTTCTATCATTACAGTGGACATATACTGCGTTCAGGTTTCAGTTCAGTAATTAACACAACTTTGCCTGTGTTTTTAAACTCGTTTATTGTGGAAATGATATGAATTAGATGTACAGTTCACCCACAATGTACTCTCCCTCGAGTGGTTATAAGTGACATTAGCAGAAGCGGAAATGATCTGTCCCTCAAATAATAACAGAAATGCAGCAAATAAAAAGTTTTTCATCCCGAAATTGTCTAAATGGGCTGATGGTTGATCTCTGAGAGCTGTTCTGTATAGCAGTATGTCACTCATTTGCTTCTCAGATTGCTTTTCTTGATTAAAACACTGTTGAAACCCTGTCATTGTGCTTGTCATTGTGCTTGTCCTCAGCCCAGATTAACCTCCTGCTAATTCAATGTGTAAAGGCTCTTTCAAAGTGATTTTAAAAATTATTGTAAGAGATATAAATGCAAGGCCAGGTTTACAGTAGCTGGAAATATATTTCTTTTGATCCATAAAATGTCCAGCCGTTATCAGCGTGCAGTGAATCTTGGGACATTCGAGGCCGTGAAGGATCCACCGGTTGTGTGCTTCATTACCTGGGAACCGGAGGACGTGTTTGGAGGCTGTGTTTGAAGGAGCCTTTTATTTTTTTCTAAATGAGACCGCATTCATCGTGCCGTGATGACGCAGCACACTTCAAATGCATCCTGAGGATGCAGCCTCTGAAATGGGACACAGCTACTGAACCGTATGAATAAATGCTAGTCTTTGTATGATGTTTTGAGGAGGACAAGCTTAGGTCAGGCCCTGTCACGTTATTTATAAGTGTAAATGTACGTGTCTGGTAGAATGACCCATAAATCTTCTGCTGAACACAAGATATTTTGTAGAATGCTGAAACCATTGTCTTCCATAGTAGGAAAAACTAAACCGATGGACGTCAGCAGTTACAGGTTATCTTATCGTGTTCAACAGAAGAAAAACCTAAACTGGTTTGGAGCAAGTGAAGGCTGAGTAAACGAGGGCTTGAGACTTCAGTTTTGGATGAACTGTTCCTTTAAGGCCATTAACTCTCATTCTGATTGGCTGCTGAGCTGGAGAGCTGATGAGGCAGTCAGAGGTTAGGGTTTGGAGTTATTCATATTTATGTTGATATTTTCTCTCCTCTGAAACTCACAGAGACTCCATGAGACCCGTGAATGTGTAATTCTGAAGATGGCGTTGATTAAAGAGGAATGTGAAGACGTGAGGATTGAAGAAGCTTTCAGAGTCAGAGATGAAGATGCGGAGGAACAGACAGGTTGGTTTTCCTCATCTGATGCTCGCAGCTCTGCAGAAATCACACGTGTTTTAATTATAAATGGTTTTATTTGACCTGAGCCTTGTGTGGACACAAATGACCAGATAACACAGAGGCAGCCCGTACTACACAAATATTGTGAACAACATTAAACCCAGTGTCTAACATGGAAATGGTCATATTGATAGTATTGATATTGATAACACTAACTACACATGGTGAGGTGAGGTGTTTGCTGAAGATATGGGGAAATTCCCCTAAACAGTGTGACACCGCTACTACTCGCACAAACACACGTCATCATGTCGCTAGCACACTCATGGAGCGGCCATTCTCAACTCATCCATATGGAAGTTGAGTGTAATGCAGTGTGTGATCATCAACACTGATCTACTGTATGGATGAACTGAAACACTCTGCTGAGCTCACATCATGCCATGAGACGCTCACTATTGCGTCTGGTGTTTCTGACGGAGCGCTGTGACATCATGCACTCCAGCACTAAGTGTGGCTGTCTCGTAACACAAACAGCACAGCGCACTGCTCTGATGTCAGCTAAACAGCAGACTGTACAAGTGTGGCCAGCCTAGCATGCAAACAGTAGTGTTGGACTGTATTTGGAGGATTGCTCTTCATTTAGAGCTGGAAAGTGTGTCAGCCTTTGGGTTTCGTCAGGTGTTCATCTGGTGGATCATGCTGAAAAAGCAGGAAGCTGTTCTTTATTTATGTAGTGCTCATATTCATGAATATAACCACAAGAGAAGAAGATTAATGCCGAGCTCAGACTGCAGGATTTAGCCGTGTCACAGGTGTTTTCACACTGCATCTCTCTGGGCTGTTGCATTCAGCTGTTTTTAATTCAGTCAGCTTTGCGTTTAACGAAAGATTTAATAAACTTTTACAGCTGAGAACAATGGTTTGTGTCTTTTTTGTGTCAAACAGATAAGCTGGATAAAGCACATGCAGGACGGTTGTTTTTTTAGAATAAACCCCTCAGTCAGTGCTTTGCATTAGGCTGCAGATATGCCTGTCAGCCTTTATTCTGCAATAAACCCCTGGATGTGCTTCATCCCTGACTGAATATCTGTGTAATATGTTGGGTGGTAATTTTAAGGCTGTCGGTGACATTTTGTCATGAACACCACACACTGTAAATGTAAAGATTCAGTTGCTTGTTCGTATTAAAAATCCTTCTTTTCACATTTGTAAGTGTCAGTTTTGCAGTCGTGTTGCTGTTGTAGATGGAGTGTTCGGGGGAAAAATCTCTCGTAATACCCAAAGTTTGTAGTGTGGTCCTAAAAAACCATCACTTGATGGGCTGTGTGGCTCTAACCCTTACTCATACACCTCCAAACAAAAAGAATAGGGACAATCTTAAGGCTGATTTATACTTTTGTCTGGTGCCGCGTGGTGGACCTCCGCTGACTGCACGTGTATCTCACAAAACGAACGAGGCTTTTATACTTGATGCATTCGCTGTTTGTGATATTCTTTACAACAACAGGGGGCGCTCAAAAGACACTGAGCGTAAAATCAGACGAATAAACAGAAAAGTAGGAAGTTTCCGGAACTACGTCATATCGTTAATTTCACTCCATACTTTTAAACTAATTATTTTTACTTTTATTTTAATAATTATAAAGATTTTTATAACCATTCAAGATTTCTAAATCAAACTTTGATGCATCACTTGCTTTTGGTCACATTTCAGACAGTTAAAGTTATCTGTATTAGCTACATATTAAAGCTAAATATCAGTGACAGCAGAACATGGGCAGCTCTACTAATATAAATGTTTATTATGGCAAGGTAAAATGTACACTTACTAAATAATAGAGACGTTTTATGGATTTAGCCCACTCCATAATTCGCATTACTGTCTGGCTAGTTTGTGTCCTCTGCTTATGCTAAAAAGACAATAATGGTCCAACATCCCTGACATCAATCACCAATAAAGCCCAGAGAAACAGGGCATCAGTATCCTGTAAACCGACAGCTTCAAATTCTCCCTTCCAGTTATTAAAGGAATAATTCAGTCTCTTCATTTTAGTTTTGTAACTGTTAAATTGTTTTACATTCAAACTGTGCTATACACATCAGAGTAAAACCTGGTGGAAACACAGATTCTGTGATTGTGTATCCGGGTCTCCACTGTTGCCATGGCCTGTGTTTTTTGTTTTAATAATCTCATCCCTCAAGTTTCTCTAAACATTTTAACAAAAACTCTCCTCCTTTTCCACGGCTGTTGCGATTTCTTGCCAGGAGTTATTGGTCATCTGGTTCTCCCTATGATCATGCATGAACGGATCATAAAGCTGTGTGTACAGTTGTACTGTTTCAGACAAAACCTCTTCAAAGTGTTTCATATTCAACTCAAATCAAACGTGGCGCCACACGGACTGTTTGCTCGAGTCAAAATAAGTTTGTGCGCTCTGCCAGCTAAAATCATGCCATCTCGAAGGTTCACTTTGGGTGTGCGCAGCATCACATTCTCCATGTGCACTCAAGCTAACAACCAAACCAGTCAAGTATAAACCAGGCCTTAACCCTTCAGGTGAATGTGCAAACCGATAGCCAAAGGGAAGGGCTAAGAATTAGGGATTTGGCCTTAATCTGGGCTTCATCTCTACTCGTACCTGCTTTTCCCTCAGATCTGCTGGTGCTGAAGAAAGAGACAGAAGATCTGGAGGACACTAAAGGGAAAGACCCGTTCGGGAGAGAAGAACTGGATGACACAGAAGAGAAAGACCTGTTAGAGGAGCGTCAGGACTTCACCAGCACACACGCAGCAGCTGAGGAGAGCGAGGACTCCATCAGGTTGTGCTGTCCGCAGTGTGGAAAGAGCTTCAGCAACAGGGGGAACCTGAAACTGCACCTGATCGTCCACAGTGGGGAGAAGCCCTTCATCTGCCGGCTGTGTGGAAAAAGTTTCTCCAGGAAAGGTAGCCTGAAGACACACATGAGCATCCACAGCGGCGAGCGGCCACACACCTGCTCACAGTGCGGACGCACCTTCAACCTTAAGGGGAACCTGCGGGCTCACTTCAAGGTGCACACCGGCGAGAAGCCCTTCACCTGCGCATGCTGCGGAAAGAGCTTCACACGCAGAGATATCCTGAACAACCACATGACCGTCCATCTGCGGGAGAGCTGTGTGACATGCCACCAGTGCGGCATGAGCTTCAGTAAACACGCTAACCTGAAGGTCCACATGAGAATCCACACATGACGGAAGACTGAGACCATCGACAAGCTTTCGGAGATGAAGCGGCTCTTTATACAGCTGTGGAAACCAGACAGAGATGCCTCTGAACACAGCGCTCAACTCAACACCCACTCTCAATCTGACCTCTGAACTCGACTCTGAACTCTTGAACTCGGAGTTCTTGCACTGGTCGGGTGTTTTTTATCAGATGCTGATGGTTTGGAGGCACTGGCTGCAGAAGGACTAGACTATTCAGCTTAATCAGTGCTGTGTTTACAGCGGGGATGGACAGTAACAGAAGTGTGGATGTAGAGAAATATCTTCATTCGCCTTACAGACACTCCACTCAATCACTTACGACTGCATGACTGACACTGTGCTTTAAACGATGATTTATCAGGAGTCAACAGAGAGTAATAAACCACATATGATTTATGTGTCCGATGGCCTTCCAGCTGCAACCCAGTGCTGGAAAACACCCATACACGCTCATTTATTCACCATTGTTGGACAGTGGGGGAAACCAGAGCAACCGCAGGAAAACCACAACAACACTGGCAGAAATGCCTCCTGCCCAGCCGCTGAGCCTCTAGAGCAGGGGTGTCAAACTCAATTCCTGGAGGGCCGAAGCCCTGCACAGTTTAGTTCCAACCCTGCTCCAACACACTTACCTGTATGTTTCAAACAAGCCTAAAGGACTCAATTAGTTTGATCATGTGTGTTAGTTAGGGTTGGAACTAAACTGTGCAGAGCTGCGGCCCTCCAGAAACTGAGTTTGACACCTGTGCTATAGAGGAATAATATAATTGGTAATACTGTGAAAAATCTCCTTGCTCCGCTACTTCATTTAAGCAGGAGGGCAGACCATTGAAAGTCTTTAGCTGCACAATAACAGCTACAGATTCTGGAGGAGCAGGACAGTAGATGTTTTAGGGGCTGATGGCACTGAACACGCTTTCTGATCTGAGAACATGAGCTGCACCTCACTGCGTTAAAGCCATTTGGTAAAGAAGTGTGATGCTCGAGCGTTGATATTCCAATAACTGTAATTTTTAATAATGTTGTAATATTGAAGATTTGTGAAGTCGTACAGCTCTAAATAATTGGAAACAATGACCACTAGTCTCTCCTCCATCTTTAAAGGTCTCCGTAGTCTACATGACAACACAAACTCTGCTGTCACCTCAACAGAACTGCTTCTGCTTTCATTTGATTGGAGAATAAAACAGACTGATGTAATGTGCTTTTCTACACTAAGAGCTGCCTTTTTTCAACCACAAGAGCATGCTGGGCAAGATAAAAAAAAAAAAACATTGGGCCCACTGGTGTAAAAACAATAAGAAGAATGCACAAAAAGACATTTTAATATGCAAGTGTACACATTTTTACTAACTGTAACACGTTTAACCTGTAATACACGTCAACATATTTACCCAGATTTAAACAACTAAGTTTGCAAGCCACAAACACTCATTTAAAAAATAAATAGTATATGATTATGACATATAAAACATGAATCAAATGCATTTTTGTTAATGAATAACATTCAAATATATGCATAATTAACTGGAATAGCAGGAGACATTTGTGCTTATTTCACTCTGAGATTTACAGAAAACTCTGCATTAGATGCTGGACAGCGGGTAAGATAAGATGTTGACAATGAGAAGGAAACCTGTGTGTTTTCAGCAGGGTGAATTAGTGAGGTGGAAATATACTAGATTATATAATGAAACATGCTGAATGTGGCCTGTTTTTCCTCACATATCACACAGTATTTCTGTGATCATGCGCATCACTGCATTTATTAAAGCGAGTCCTAATAGTGCACTGCTAAAGCCACACAGCAGAACACACCTTCCCTTTCAGCTTTTCTTTTCTTCCTCTTTTCAGCTCCAGAAAGACGTTGTTTGGACGTCATTTCATTGCAAAATAAAATTGGATTAAGATTGATTAAAATAGCAAAGACACTTGTGACATTATAATATTCACGCTGATGTTGTGTTTTTATTATTGTTTTCAGCTGTTTGTTGTGTGTGATTGAAGCTTTGTTTATACTTCTGCGTCAAGTGACCGGCGTAACCATTGGCGCATGCAACTCCCGTAGCTGTGCATTTCTGCGTGCTGTTGGTCTGCATTACACTTCTGAAACGCTAGTGGGCAGTGAGGTGTAAATGTTCCTCTGTGTCGAGTTTCTTCGCTGCTGTTTTGCTTTTCCTGAACACTTCCTGGATGTACAAGTGGCTCAAACTCGCTCATATTGAGGCAGGAACCAGCGGACGTGCAACAACTTTAACCATGAGGTAAACACAGAACAGAACGGAGCGATTCTTTTTATGAAATGTGGAGGTTATTTTTTATACTGTGGTTGTGAATTTTATCACGTTTAATGGACTTTGCGCATTGATCGCGTGTTATTGACTGAAAAACACACATACACACATTCATGGAATCGGCAGAGAGACGGAGCGGATTATAGGGTCGCACAAAGTGACCATCTGGACGCTCCCTGATCAATGATGCGGAGTGTGTGGGACTGACCCCTGATCAGCGCTGCAGTTTCAGCCTGAGCTCAGATTATAAGGACACTCCAGGCGCCTGCTAAAAACAGCCAGAAAACACCAGCGTGTCTGAAGACCCTCGCCTCATTTCACTTCATTTTATCCCTGAAATCGTACATCAGTCCATTTTATACAAGTTTTCCTAATATTTATCCATTATTTATTTATTTATTTATTCAGCTTCACCTAAAGCTGCACGATATACATGGTGTCAGCCTCGATTTCTCAATGTGTGCATCCACAACAGACGGGATCTGCAGTGTTGAGTCTGGATCATAGCTGCTATATGTCAGAGCCACAAGAGCTTGCTGGAGCTATCAGTCCTTTAGGGGAGGGGCTATCAGTCCTTTAGGGAGGAGCTATTAGTCATTTAGGGAGGAGCTATCAATCCTTTAGGGAGGAGCTATCAGTTTGTTAGGGAGGAGCTATCAGTCCTTTAGGGAGGAGCTATCAGTCCTTTAGGGAGGAGCTATCAGTCCTTTAGGGAGGAGCTATCAATCCTTTTGGGAGGAGCTACCAGTCTTTTAGGGAGGCTCAAAGGACCATGACCATGAGTCTAAAGGACTGATAGCTCCATTATTAGGGAGGTTGTGGTATTTGATTAAATATTGTGAGGGCAAATTAATGCTTACATTACAATGAAATGCACAGATATATTGTTTATAATAATTAATAATAATAATTGCAGAATGTTCACTTCAGTTTCTGCTCACAGTCACCATTAGATGAAAGCAGTGTCACAGGGAAAGGTGAACAGACAAAAGCTGCATTTACTGCTGTTAGTTAAACCCAGCTCAGAGACACGGCCAATACTGTTTCTATATCAGTTTTATAGTCTAGGTGTTTAAGGACTTATGTTTATTCTTTATTTATTATGTTTATTAATATTACTTAGAAATGTGAAAATGTAATCCTGTAATTAGCCGTGTTCATTCTTTTAACTGCATAAATTAAATAATTTTACTGTGTGTGTGTGTGTGTGTGTGTGTGTGTGTGTGTGTGTGTGTGTGAGACTGATTAATGATTAATTAACCTTCACAACCACTGAAAGTGATGAGTTGTAAATTGGTTGTCGTTTAGTTGTGGGGTCAGTGGCTGGATTAGTGTATCAGCACCACCAATAATCCTCTCTCTCTCTCTCTCTCTCTCTCTCTCTCTCTCTCTCTCTCTCTCTCTCTCTCTCTCTCTCTCTCTCTCTGAGTGTGTGCAGTCTCCGCTTCTGCGCCGGTTCTCAGCTTCCGGCTGCATTTCAGCCCGTTTATCAGAAAAACACGGCGCGCTCGTGCACGTGCATTTGATGTGAACGTGAGCGCGCGCGGCTCGGCCAGTCGCGGTGTGTCGGTGTGGATGGACTTTCAGCAGTGGGGATGTAATAAATGCTCATTAAACGACATCGATGGACGGATCGCGACTCGACGAGCCACACCAAAGGTAAGATCCGAGCGGGTTAACTGCGCAGAAATGCTGGAGGTGTTGCTGATCCCAGAACAGCTTGTCTGATGCGGAATGGCGCAACTGAACACAACTTGCAGAGCAGCTCTGTCCTCTGCTGGCTTCATCGATCAGCTGTTATTAGCATTATATCGAGGAGCATTAGATCAGAGCTGTCATCATCATCATCATCATCATCATACTCCAGCTGTCCGTCTTCTGTCATCTGCAGATTATTCTGTATATGCTGTTCATATCTCACCCGCTCATATCAGGCATAAGCAGCGGAATAAAGCGAGTTATCGATCATTCGAGACTGACATGAAACTGAGACTTGGTCAAGTTGCTGCATCATGTCCGGCCGTGGCTGTAAATATAAGGGAAATACAGGTGGTGAAGGTGTTTGGTCAGATGTGTTTACTCCTGAATGCGCCAGCAGTAGTTTCCCACATCTAGTCTGGCATATTTGAGCAGATTCAGATCATTAGTGTGGCATTATCAGATGATCATACAGTCACACAGCGCAGTCTCCAAATGCCGTACAGTCCTGTCCTCCGCGTTCATCTCGCTCCATACCGCATCCCGCCTGTGGGAATGATCATCCGTCTGTACATGTCTTTATTTGTTTACCTGAAGCCTGTAAATCACAGTCATACTCAGCTCAGCAGATGTACTGTCCTCAGATCAGCTCTTATGTTGATGACGGAGCATCGTGTGTGTGTGTGTGTGTGTGTGTGTGTGTGTGTGTGTGTGTGTGTGTGTGTGTGTGTGTGTGTGTGTTAATGAGAACACGGGCTATCAGTCTAGTGCAGAGCAGAAGAAGAGGCTCGAAAGATAACGCAGAGCAGATGCTGGCCTCATTTGGCATTTTGCAGCACTGAGGATGGAGCTGTCCCAGTGTCATGAAGATGTGAAGAGCTCTTGATCATGACTGTCTGAATGATCTGAGATATCCTGAACACTGCTCTGCTGAAGGAAACAGTATGAGGCAGGATTTGATGCTGTTTAAAGGGACAGTTCACCTATAATCGACTGTTCCTCCAGGGGTTTCTATCCTTCATGATTTTAATTCTTCTGTTGAACACCAAAGAAGATATTTTGAAGAATGCTGGGAACCTGGGTCCTTTGACTTGCATATTAGGAACAACAAACACTATGGAAGTCAGTGACATTCTTCAAAATATCTTCTAGTAGTGTTCAACAGGAGAAAGAAACTCATACAGGTGTGAAACAGGTAAAGGGCGAGTAAACACTGAGTGTGTGTTCATTTCTCAACTCTGTCTCACGATATTGTTGACAAGTTTACAGAGCTGAATGGAAACGACCAAATGTGTTTCCCAGTGATGGATTGCACCTGGAAGGGCATCCGCTGCGTAATACATGTGCTGGATAAGTTGGCAGTTCATTCCGCTGTGGCGACCACGGATTAATAAAGGGACTTAGCCGGAAAGAAAATGAAAGAGTGAATGAGCTTCTGCTCAGTAATCTGTATCGTAGCTTCTTCCTGCTAAACTGCAGTGAGTGTTAAAAAGAGGAACTGAGAAGAAATAAACTTCAGCATTTATTTCATTTTTTAAATATATATATTCTTTTAGTTTTTTAAATATTGAGAAATGAAACACTATTTTTCCATAGAGCAAACAGTAAACACAAATAAAATGACCTAACCTGCCTGTAAACAAGTTCAACTGAAATGAGGGCGCTAGTGTAGCTTATTATACAAACAAAACCGTAATAGTTATGAAAATACAGAGCACTCGGCAAACAAACACGGCTGAATCTACTGTCAAGTTGTACTGTGCCGTTGTTTGCTACTAGATTGAGTGTCACTGCCAATACTTTAAGTTTCTTTTAGCGAGATACTCCTCGTGTACCGCCTGTGGCGCTGGTTGTTTTGTTGTCGTATTGCATTGTGCTGTGGCAACACTTTATACAGATTAACTGATTTTTTACTGTGACACTGAAACCAAAATATTCCCATATTACTGATGTACTATTTTCAGTGATATTAATTGATCTTAAAGCAAATGTCATCACCCCACCCGCAGCACTTTCCTGTTTTGTTTGTTTGTTTGTTTGTTTGTTTGTTTGTTTGTTATTGTGGATGTTCCGTGTAGTTCTGTTGTGCAATTCTGACGGACCCTTCATTTAAACATCTTCCATGTGTAATATGAGCATATTTACTGTACAAAACCTGTCAGTGAACTATGAGAGCAGAAAAGTTAATTAAAAATAATCGTTCATTAATCATAATCAAGTTAAAATGTTCAATTATTGGAGATTTTGATTTTAGGCTAAATGGCTCAGCTCTGCTCCTGAGTTTCCTCTTCTGTCTGATGAGCTGGGAGAATAAATCAGAATAAAGCTGCGCTGGGGCAGAAACAGCTGACTGTACTGAGACAGGTGAAGTGTGTGCGCATGTTTCTGCTTCTGTTTTGTGCGGCAAATTCATCAACAGGACACTTCATTAACAACATTAGTGTGAACTTCAGCTGTAGTTCAGCTGGGCTGCCAGTTCTTCTGCTGCTTTTTAAGTCAAACTGCTCTCTTCTATAAGACCACGGGTCTGTTTGAGAAGAATCTGATGGCATTTGACTGTCAGCTGAGTCCACGTTATTGGGGTCTGCCCTCTGTGTTGTGGGTTAGAGTCGACTCAACACTATAGGTGATCAGAACAGTGTGGTTTGGCTGGGCTCGGGCACACTCTGCGCTCATCCTACATGTGTAGCCTGTAGACTTAAATCCATATTTACTTTCCAATAAGTGTGAACTGTCACAGTTTAAGAGCATCTCAGTGGTCAGCACTGTGACCTCACAGCAAGAAGATCTCTGGTTCGATTCTCGGCTGGGTCAGTTGGTGTTTCTGTGTGGAGTTTGCATGTTCCTCCTGTGTCGGCATGGGTTTCCTCCAGGTGCTCCGGTTCCCCCACAGTCTAAATACATGCGCTATAAGGGAATTGATAAACTACACTGGCTGTAGTGTATGAGTGTGTGTATGGGTGTTTCCCTGTTCTGGGTTGCGCCTGTAAGGGCATCCGCTGTGTAAACTATATGTGCTGGGCTCCTTGACTCATGTCAGTGTTGTCATGTTGCAGGACTGGATCTGCACTGTGAGTCTCTGTGATGGGCAGTGTTGTAGCTGTGGAAATGAAGACGGTTACTGTGGTACAGCTTCTCGACGCTGCTGTTCTGCTTGTATCTGCAGACGTTACACCGTGTCATGTACTTGGGCGTGTAATGATATCCTGAACTCTGCTGTTCTGCGTTTGTTTACCAGCAGCACGGTAAGGTAAGACGCAGGTGCAGCAGATCTGCAGGTCTCAGTAAGTCCTGTGTAAGTCGCCCTGGAGGATCTGCTTCTATAAATACGGCCACAGATGTCAGCTAATCTTCTCTTTCTCTGAGTCTCTGACAAACTCACCACCGGCCGGCTTCTGAACACACATTCCCATTCCCCAAAACACCTGTCCACACACACACACACACACACACACACACACACGATCAGTTCTTTCCACCTGTCAGACTGTTTTCTGGATGTTCATAAATAAGTGTTGTTACCGTAATGTCGTGACAAAATAAAACAACATTCCACATGCTTAAAGGCACAGTCCACCTAAAGCTGAACATTCTGTTATCATTTACTCTCTTTACGTCTTCCAAACCTGATACAAAAGCAAAAGAAGATATTTTGAAGAATGTTGGAATCTTGTAATCGTCACAAATAGGAACAACAAATACTGTGGATGGTTACTTGCTTCAGAATATCTTCTTCAGTGTTCAGCAGAAGACTCAGACATGTCTGGAAGAACTGGAGGGAGAGTAAATGAAGAGCCGGTGTTCAGTGGACTGTGCCTTTAAGCTAACAGGGGATCTAGTGTAGTGAATGGAGGCTTCAGGGGTGCTGATTAAACCATCTAAAGAAACTCGGCAGCTCCTCTCTCTCTCTCTCTCTCTCTCTCTCTCTCTCTCGATCTACACGCAGAGACCAAACCCATATTACACAACATGCATCTGACTGCAGACTACATCACTGTATAGCAGATGTCATTGTAGAAATACAACCCAGAAAGACCCCCACAGGAACCCCCCGGCAAACTATAAACACCTCAGCAACCACCCAGATCACCCCAAAACACCCTGGTAACCTAAAACACCCTGGCAATCACCTGAGAAACACACTGGCAACCACCCAGATCACCTCAGCAACCTAAAGCACCTTGGCAACCACCCAGACCATCACAGAAACACCCTGGCAACCACCCAGATCCCCCAGTAACATCACAGCAATCTATAAATACCTCAGCAACCATTCAGATCACCTCAAAACACTCAGAGAAACAGTAGCTTCACTCCAGAGCGTGACTAGTCCAGTTGATGGACTGAAGAGCAATGATGCGATGAGCGTGTGTAACGTCACTGCGGCCCCGCGAGCTCTTCCTCTGCAGTGACATCAGCAGGCTCTGTTTAGGGGCTTCAGTCGGAGCTCTGAGACTTTCAGGCTGATATGAAAGTGAGTGCATCAGTGCCGATGAGAGAAGAGGAAATCAAATACACAGAGGGAGAGTGTCAGCAGAAATGAGCATCAAACGAACTGCACATGACTCCTCAGCGAGCCTTCTCTGTGCTGTCTATATTTATTACACGGCTGTCTGGAATACTCCATTCTGATTGGTCAGTCATGACATGCCAAGGTGTGTTGTTTACAGATAACACCTGCTGAATAACATAGACTCCGTATATGATACATATATAATTCATGCTTTTTCATAAATCATGTTTTCAGCAGTTTTCATATTTAGGTGACCCTAGTTCTGCCGGCTCAAGCTCAGACAGTGAAATACGTGTGTGATTTATTAGCTGCAAAATTACAGCTCGAGCTCCTAAATATGTGCTGCAGTTCAGGACAGCAGGGAGCGGCAGAAGAGTACAGATCAGCGTCCTGCACATGACGAATGGCCTTCATTTTCTGTGTGTTGTGTCCTAAATTGGACAGCTGT